AAATATAAAATGGAAAGAAGAGAGCATATTCAACAGATGGTGCAGGCATCACTGGATACTGACATGGAGAAGACTGCAAACAGATCTGTCTATCACCATGCACAAAACTCAAGTCCAAATGGATCAAAGACCTCCACATAAAGCCAGCCACACTGAACCTCACAGAAGAGAAAGTGGAAAGTACCCTTGAATACACTGGCACAAGAAACCGATTCCTAAATATAACTCCAGTAGCAGACACTGAGAGCAACAATTAGTAAATGGGACTCCTGAAACTAAGAAGCGTCTGTAAAGCAAAGGACACCATGAACAAAACAAAACAAAATGGCAGCCTACAGAATAGGAAAGATCTTCACCAACCCCACATCTGACAGAGGACTAATCTCCAAATTAAACAAAGAACTCAAGAAACTAGACATCAAAAGAACAAATAATCCAATTTAAAAAAAAAATGGGATACAGACCTAAACAGAAAACTCTCAACAGAGAAATTTCAAATGGCCAAAAGACACTTAAGGAAATGCCCATCATCCTTAGCTATCAGAGAGATGAAAATCAAAACAACTCTGAGATTCCATCTTACACCTGTCAGAATGGCCAAGATCAAAAACACTGGTGACAACTTATGCTGGAGAGGATGTGGAGTAAGGACAACACTCCCCCATTGCTGGTAGAAGTACAAACTTGTGCAGCCACTTTGGAAATCAGTATGGCGATTTCTCAAAAAATTAGGAATCAATCTACCTCAAGACCCAGCAATATCACTCTTGGGCATATATGCAATGCTCAATCAAACGAAGACATTTGCTCAACTATGTTCATAACAGCATTATTCATAATAGCTAGAACCTGGAAACATCCTAGATGCCCCTCGACCAAAGAATTGGGGGGGGGGGGTACATTTACACAATGGAGTACTACTCAGAAGTAAAAAACAATGACATCTTGAAATTTGCAGGCACATGGACAGAACTAGAAAAAAACATACTGAGTGAGGTAACCCAGACCCAAAAAGACAAATATAATATGTAATCACTCATAAGTGGTTTTTAGACATAAAACAAAGAATAACCAGCCTACAGTTCACAACCCCAGAGAACCTAGAAAACAAAGAAGACCCTAAGAGAGACATACATAAATCTAAATAAGAAGCAGAAAAAGACAAGCTCTCCTGAGTAAATCAGGAGTGTGGGTGGCTGGGAGAGGGGGAGTAGAAGGGGAGAGAGGAGAAAAGGAGGGGAGCAGAGAAAAATGTATAGCTCAATTAAAAACAAATCATTTAAAAATACAATAAAAGTGATTAATATAAACCTCTGGCTTCTACATGCACACATACACACTTGCACACACACACACAACCCCCCTCAAAAAAACAGCTTCAGAAATGATATCCTTTGTTACAGACCTTCTCAATTTTTCTTATATATTTTTAAGATTAAAAGTTAGATTTTAAAGCTAAACATATGGTTTTAAAAGTTTAAAACTGAAATGATAAATAGTTCAAAAGTAATTCTTAAATTTATGAAGAATTTATGAATTACATCAAGTAAACCCTATTATATTTTTAAAGCATGGAATTAATTTTAAAAGTGTTTAGGTGCTGAAATCTATAAAACTTGAATTTTCATTGACTTTAAAATTTAAATGTTCTATGTAAAAGATTATAACCTCTCCAAACTTATTCTGAAAAGACTGAAGTAATTCATAAGCAAACAATATTACTAAAATGAATTAAGAAAATAGAGATAGTCCTTGAGGTGATAATTAAATTCAACTGATGTATTCATGTATATAAATGAAGCCAAAACCTTCTACTTTAGGAAAGAAAAGGTTTTCTGGGAAGAGACTGGAATGGAAGTTGGGGCAGGGGAGAAAGATATAAAAAGGTACTTTCTTCTAATTGGACACAAAATCATAGGAATTTTATGCTCAAGGCAAAAACATCCTTCATGGCCATTTCCTTCTTGCATTCTGTCTTAGTGAGGGTTTCTATTGCTGTGAAGAGATACCAAGGCCATGACAACTCTTTTAAAGGAAAACATTTAAATGATCTGGCATATAGTTCAGTGATTCAGCCCATTATCACCATGGTGGGAAGCATGATAGCATGCAGGACACGGTGCTAGAGAAGGAGCTGAGAGTTCCACATTTGGATCTGTAGGCAACAGGAAGTAACTACCACACTGGGTATGGCATCTGAGCATCTGAGACCTCAAAGCCTGCTCACAGTGACCACTTCCTGCAACAAGACCACATCTACTTCATCCAACAAGACCACACTTATTATAAGAGCCATTTTCTTTCATACCGCCACTTCCCTACCCTACATATATTTAAACTAACTTGAAGCTCAATTAAAAACAGATTACATAGGAACATCAGTTTTCCCAATGTTTAAAATATAAGCAAAATAATGAGAATAATAATGATTAACAACCTGAGTAAACTCATGAAGAGCCCCCAACAACACAGAATAATTTAAAAGGTAACACATTTCTAAGACAAAGTCCCTAAGCTGAGACTAAGTATAGGCATTATTTAGGCTTGGTTTCATATTAAGCTTTTCAATCATCTTTAACTACTTTCTTTCCTTATTCATGGTGATCTGAAATTATCTGTATCAGTGTCTATCATCCCAGTATTGTCTCTATATGGACTGTGTCCACACTCTGAAGTGTGTCTCTCTTCTCCTCTTTCTGGTCCACAAGATACTTCCTTTACTGTTTCTTATTTAAGGGAAATATTCCCAGCTTTACAAAAGACCTTCTAATTGGGCACCCAGTTGATAACTGGGGACAATTTAATTTATAGAGTTTTAAGAAGAAAGTTGGTTTTCCTTTGTACGATTGCCCCGTCTCAGTATGAATTAAGAGGCCAAGAACACTAAAGAAATGGGTCTTTAAACTGTTAATACCATTCTCCATCTCAATCTGTACTCTAAATAGAGAGGATTGGGAAATCCCCTATATCCAGGATTTTATATCCAGATTTGAAACTAGGAGACTGCTTCTCGGTCTGTGTGACTATAGTCTTTAAACCCTGTCTACATCTATAGAACTTGACTCAGATACACTGAATGATTCCCATTTTCAATCAGTTCCCTGTCTGCAAACTTTCTGTGCCTCTGACATACCTGCTAGAAGGACAGGCAACCCTACGTGACCACCCATTGTCTCTTGACCAACAGACAACTCTCACTTGCTCTCTCCAAAGTCTTTCCCTCCCCTCCTTCTCTCTCCTAACCATTTTCACGTAAGGAAAATACCTTTTCCTCTCTGCCCTCCAGAGCAACCATCTAGCCAATCTCACAAGACCATTCCTCAGTTCAAGAGAATGAGGTCCGGAAACAGTCAAACATCCCCAATCAAGGAAATTTGTATTCATTACAGGACATACTGAACGGACATATAGACAATATAGGGATGTATGCCCTCGTTACAGAAACATGGGCCAGTTTAAGAATTGTTTTAGTGACTTCTCATAAAACCATAATAGACTGCAGGATGAATTCCTTCATGTCTGTCCCCATAGTAATAGGAAGTCATCTCAGTATTGATTTATTAACAGTTCCGATGAAATGGAGTGCATTCTTCAAAAGGCTACTGAAGTAGCTGGGAGATAGCAGCCAACATCCTAATCCATGATGTCCGAACACCACACAGACCCCAGATTGAACCCCAAGGACCCTATTCATAGAAGTAGTAAAGACACCTCTTAACTTGCCTCAAAACAGAAAAAGAGATGTTTAAGTATAGGTTGTCAGCTCTCACAGGGTCAAAGAAAAAAAAAAGAGTATTGTGAATTTTTCCCAACTACCTATTAAGGTCTTCTGAAAATCAACAATACCAAACCAGAATTGATGGGAACATAATCATTAATAGCTATAAATTTCATAAACAAGCTGCCTCAGATATTTAGAGAATGCTACACAATCTTGAACTGAGGCATCAAATACCATCTTTAAATATGAGTCCTTTGAGATTACAACAGCAGAAAAAATAACAAACAGGAAAGCAAAAAAGAAAAAAGAAGATTAGAGGGGGAAAAAGTAACTATGGACTGCTTTAATTCAACCACTATCTCACAGCAGCCCACAAAACTGCAGAAAACATGCCCCATGAGAATTATGCCACCTGAACCACGGCCAGTGTATATATAGCTGAAAGGTAGGGCATTGGAAAGGAACTGTTCTGAGTGGCTCAGAAAGGACCAGCAGGAAACAATTCACTTACAACAAAATTCTGGGCATTGTCTCCCAAGAGGGAGAATACACATTTGAACTGCAAAGGCCCAAACACTCTAGGTTCCACTGTAAATACAGTATCATATTAGTGAAGCCACAGTAACATGTGATCCAGAGGGGAAGAAGAAAGAATACTTACTGGATACAGAAGCTGCCTTATCTATCCTGACCCAACTTGTCAGCCATTTGTCCAGTGTCAACTGCCCAGTACCAAACAAGGATGGGCAGCCTAAGGGACGAAGATTCACTTTTCTCCTTTGTTGAGGCACAGGTCCCACCATTACACATTCCTGCCACTACCCCTGCTAGGTGGAGATCTCCTTAATGCACTGGGTATCTGTCTCCCTGAAGGAAGAACAGAGGCATGTTTCTTTAGAGCCAGAGCACAGTATCCTCTAGCTGCTTTCCTCGTAATTCTGACACAGAACTTCAGCCTGTCCCTGAAAACATAAGAGTCCAAAGGATGGCTCCACACTCTGAGCTATTTTTAAAAAGGAAGGGAAAATGATATCTGTTAGGCAAGTCTAAGGAAGAAAAGGAAAGTGGGAGTAAAGAGTGAATACAATCAAGAGACACTGTAAGCATGTCCTAAACCATCAAAGAATAACTGTCATAGAGAGACACTTACCATCAACCTCTGGCCTCTACCCCTTCAGGCACAAGTACAGTCACCCGTACACACCATAGGCACAACAAATTTTTCCACTTATAAAACAGTATGAAGAATAAGAATAAAGAACCAGATGTGAGAACCTACCTGGAGTCTTGCTAGTTGTGCAGTACGGGCTACTATTTTATTATATGGCTCAACAATTTTTGATTTCATCCTAAGGCCAAAAAAGGGAAAAGAATGAGAATAAAATCATTTTCAATATACCAATGGGTGACTAGAGAAATGGATTAGTGGGTAAGTATGCTTGCTGAATAAGCATGAAAATCTGAGTTCAGACCTCAGCACCTATATTAAACGCGGGGCATGGATATGTTCGAACCTGCAACCCCATGCTATCGGGGAAGGAGACAGGAGGATCGCTGGGACGCACTCCAAGTTCAATGAGAGTGTCTCTCTGTCTCAGAGGAATAGGTACAGAGTGATACTATATAACCAATATCTATCTACCTTTGACCTCTACCCACACACATGTACATGCACACATATATATCACATTCAAACACAAGCATACACAAACAAGTGAATCTCAACAGGTACATCTGTATACATATTAATAGCTAGAAATAGATTCATCTTGTATATTTATAAAGTAAACAACAATACCTATCAACAGCTCCCTGTAAAGCTCCAATTCTTGTCTGCATCATCTGAAGAACACCTAGGAAAGATAACAATTCATATAGGCTTTATAAATTTACAAGATTCATGCTGGACCAAAGTAATCAAAAACAAAAATAACATGAGTACAATCTGTAGGGTTAAGCCAGCCCCTTTAGGGGGCAGGTTTGCCTCGGGCGAATGCATACAATTTCGGGCGCGTGGGAGGCGGCTCGTCCCTTTTCCTGCCTCCTGTGAAACGGCTACGCGGGAACCTCGGTTCTGTAAGTTTATTTAAACATTAAAGCTGTATATATTCTTTAATATCTGCCTTGCATTTATTTACGCCGGTACATTTGGCGCCTGCCCCGTGGGGCTTTGCGGATACCAGCCCCAAAATCAGAGGCTCCTGAGGGCGACAGCTCCCAGTGGCACCTCCCCCCGGAAGTCTCCCTGGGTGTGCGGCGCCTTGCGGATGCAGCTGAGATTCTGAGCTACTCGATCTTTCCTGGTGCCTGCTAAAAAGTCAAACGGGATGGGAGTATTAGCACTCTCCGGCCCCGCCCTGCCTGACAGTGGCACAAGCGCCTCTGTAACAGCGTGATCAGTCTCTGTTCCCCTCCCACCTCCGCCAGCGCTCAGGTCACATGACAGCGGACCTGCGAGCCGGCTCAAACACTCCAGCATCCCTTTGATTTGTTCACTTTGGCAGCTTTTCTCTCTGTTCCCTTTCTGTCCCAATTGCTATTTATCAGCCTGGTGTCTGCTCCAATTTTTGTTTATGAGTCATTTATTTCAGACTTAGGCCACGTGGACTCAAGTGGACTCTTTCGCCACCACTGGCAGGAACCGGTCATTGCAGGTAAAAGAATTTTTTCTTTTATAAATAAAATGTCTGAGAGCGTGACTGTTTTAGATTTTAACAGCTTTTTTTGAGTGTACCATGTGGGAGATTTTACAAGAGGTGTCTATCACCCCACATCTATAAATATTTCTGGGATTCGTAATTTTCCTTAGAACTATATGGTTTGACAATAGGAAAATGATAAAATCTCTTAAGGCAGAGGTTGAACGTTTAAAAACTATTGAGAATGACAACAATCTTCTCAAGAATCAGTTTGAAGTTCTCCAGGAAGAAAACAGATCTTTGTTTAACATGACTCAGTTAACTGAGCAAAATTTAGAAAAGGTAGAGGCTGATGTTAAGGAGAAATTCATTACTATGGAAGAAGGAACAGCTGAATTGGATCGTAAGTTCCAGCAGTCCCTTTCTGTAGGAACTGAAACATTAACTGAGAGAATCAAAACTGCTGAATGTGACAATCGAATTTTGTCTAAAGCTTATGACAGATTGGCGGAAAGATTGTCAATACAAGAAGGCACGGTTTATGCCATAAAAATTATGTCCAAAGATGACAAGTTATCTCTAATAGACAAACTTCATACTTTAGAATCCTCAATGAAGGCTTTGGAACATAATTCTGGACAGGAGATTCAGACATTACAAAAAGCAATGGTGAATAGAATTGAAAAGATTGAGGAATTTCTAAATTCTGATGAAGAAGAGCAAAGGGTAGAAAGGCAAATTTTAACTACATCTGTGGATAAATCCCTCCAGGACAATTTCCACAAAGCTCTACCTACAGCTCTACATGCCTTTCCAGTAATAACAACAGAAAAGGTGATTGGTTCCAGAAACCCTAGGGTCATCAAGGAAGATACATGGGAGCCTGTCCGTATGAATGATCTCAAAGAAATTAAACAGGCTGTCATGACTTTTGGGATGCATGCCTCTTTTGTTAAAGAGATGCTAAAATCTTGGGCCACAAAAAGCAGAGCAATCCCCTCAGACTGGCTCCAACTGAGCTCCGCGGTCCTTGAGAGTGGACCGCAATTGAAATGGAAATGCTTATTCAGGCAAGAGGCTAGACTTTTAGAACAGCAGGAAAAGGCGAAGGGAATTGACATTTCCCTAGATAAAATTCTAGGTGAAGGGCTATTTTTCCGACCCTCAGGAACAAGCTAATTTGGACGAAAACACACTCTCCATGTGTACTACAGCAGCCTTAAGGGCTTGGGACAGGGTACAAGACCCAGGACAGAAAATGGAATCATTTGTCAGAGTTAAACAGGGTCAGAGAGAACCCTTTAGTGACTTTTTACAAAGACTAACTAAGGCTGTACAAATAGGGATATCTGACCCAGAAGCAAGACGTATAATGATTGAGTCTTTGGCTTACGAAAATGCAAATGTGGAATGCAAAAAGATCTTGAGGCCTTTAAAGTTCAGATCAGCGCCCTTGGAAGAATGGGTCTTGCATACACTGAATGTTGTCACATTTGACTATGGCACTGAAGCATGGGTAGAAGAAGCAATTTCCAATGGTAAAAGGAGACACCAGAATACCAAATGTTTTAATTGTGGCAAAATGGGTCATATGAAAAGGAATTGTAAACAATGGATTTTCAGAAATAATAATAATGCATCTTCTAGAACTAACAGAAATAGAAGGACTCAGCCTTCAGGTGTATGTAGAAGATGTGGAAAAGGCAGACATTGGACGAATGAATGCAGGTCTACAAGAGATAGACAAGGCAACCTGATACAGACGGGAAACGTGAGAGGGGGGGGCCTCACAGGCCCCCATGGCAAACACGGTTCAGTCATTTCCAGTTTCTGCAGAGAACATGCCTCGTCAGCACAATTAGGAAGCCACATGCCTACTGTTACAAGCAATAGTGATCAGAAAGATGAGTTGCGTGTGTTTTGGCAAACTTCTATAAATGATCAAAGACCTAAGCTGAGAGTGTGTGTAAATGGCATTTTTATTACTGGCCTGCTGGACACAGGTGCTGATGTAAGTGTCATTACCCCAGATTCTTGGCATCCATATTGGCCTCTTCAGAATGTAAATGTTCAGCTCCTGGGAATTGAAACCCTATCTCGAGTAAGGCAGAGCACGAAATGGGTTGAATGTATAGGGCCAGAGGGACAAATAGGAAAATTAAGGCCATATGTAGCCAATATTGCAATGAATTTATGGAGTCGTGACCTATTACAACAATGAAATACCCAAATTAACATTCCTGCTACTTCTAATATTAAATAATATTAAAAGATATTACAAACCGGAGAAAACTGGCCATTCGGGCTGTGCAAGAACAAGCAATTGATGTCCCTTCAGAGATACCAACAGCCTTGCCTCTAAAATGGTTGACTGAGAAACCAATATGGACAAAGCAATGGCCTTTAGCTGAGGAAAAGTTACAGGCTTTAGAACAGCTGGTACAAGAACAACTAGATGTTGGACATATAGAAGAATCTACTAGCCCTTGGAATTCTCCTGTATTTGTGGTTAAGAAAAAATCAGGTAAATGGAGAATGGTGACAGATCTCAGGGCCATCAACAAGGTTATTCAACCTATGGGCCCTCTGCAATCTAGAATTCCTTTGCCCTCTTTATTACCAAAAGGATGGCCTCTCATAGTTATTGATTTAAAAGATTGTTTTTTCACTATACCTTTGCAAAAAGAAGATAGAGAAAAATTTGCCTTCACAGAGCCTACTTATAACAATTCTCAACCTTCGAGGAGTTACCATTGGGCCGTCCTCTCCCAGGGAATGTTAAATAGCCCCTCCCTGTGCCAATATTTTGTGAACCAACCATTGCAAATAATACACAAGAAATTTCCCAAATCTATAGTATACCATTACATGGACGACATTTTGTTATCCGATTCAAACATAGATACCTTGAACAGACTGTTTGAAGAAATACAGATACTTTTACCCAAATGGGGATTGCAAATTGCTCCTGAAAAGATTCATAAGGGAGATTCTGTTAATTATTTAGGTTATAGAATAGGTTTGCAAAAAATTAAGACACAAAAGGCACAAATTCGGAGAGATCGCCTACGGACTCTTAATGACTTTCAAAGACTGTTAGGAGACATTTCCAGTCTACGACCAGCTATAGGGATAACACCTGATCTAATAATTCATTTGAACAAAACCTTGGATGGTGATAAAGATTTAAACAGTCCCAGAGAATTAACAGCTGAAGCAGAAAAGGAACTGACAATGATTGAGGAGAAATTACAACAGGCACATGTGGACAGAGTGAATCCAGAGCTCGATTGTATTCTCGTCATATTACCATCAAAAATTTCTCCTACAGGAATTTTAATTCAGAGAGATGATATTATCTTGGAATGGATCTTTTTACCACATAAACCAAGTAAGAAACTGAAAACTTATGTGGAAAAAGTCTCTGAGTTAATTATAAAAGGCAAGCTGAGACTTCGTCAACTAGCAGGCATAGACCCAGCAGAAATTATAGTGCCTTTCACTGCTGATGAACTAAAGAAATTATGGGAAGATAATGAACCATGGCAAAGAGCTTGTGCTAATTTTTTGGGAGACATTAATAACAACTATCCAAAAAGCAAGCGGCTTAACTTCATAAAGAGAACTTCTTGGATCCTTCCTCGAATCGTCCGTGATGCTCCAATAACTGGAGCCCGTACATTTTATACTGATGCCAATAAATCAGGGAAGGCAGGTTACAAATCAGAAGACTTGGGTAAGGTGGAACAAAGTCCTTATGATTCTGTCCAGAAGGCAGAATTATATGCCATTCTTATGGTACTAAGAGATTTTAAAGAACCTATTAATATAGTTACTGATTCACAATACGCAGAAAGAGTTATTTTACATATTGAAACTGCTGAATTTATACCTGATGATACAGAACTAACCTCACTGTTTCTCCAGGTTCAAGATTTGATCAGGAACAGGCTTTGCCCTATGTACATAACACACATCCGATCCCATACGGGTCTGCCAGGTCCTCTAGCACAAGGTAATGCAGAAATTGATCAATTATTGATTGGTAGTGTGCTACAAGCCTCTGAATTTCATAAAAAACATCATGTTAATAGCAAAGGTTTGAAGAAAGAGTTTTCAATTACATGGCAACAAGCTAAGGAGATTGTGAAGAAATGCCCTACCTGCTCTTTCTATAACCAAACGCCACTGCCTGCAGGGGCTAATCCGAAGGG